TAGTTGCAACAGCTGACAGTACTAATTGTCAGTATCTAGTGTTGAGAGTTAACATGTTTAGTTGCAACACCTGACAGTACTAATTGTCAGTATCTACTGTTGAGAGTTAACATGTTTAGTTGCAACACCTGACAGTACTAATTGTCAGTATCTACTGTTGAGAGTTAACATGTTTAGTTGCAACACCTGACAGTACTAATTGTCAGTATCTACTGTTGAGAGTTAACATGTTTAGTTGCAACACCTGACAGTACTAATTGTCAGTATCTAGTGTTGAGAGTTAACATGTTTAGTTGCAACACCTGACAGTACTAATTGTCAGTATCTACTGTTGAGAGTTAACATGTTTAGTTGCATCACCTGACAGTACAAATTGTCAGTGTCTAGTGTTGAGAGTTAACATGTTTAGTTGCAACACCTGACAGTACAAATTGTCAGTGTCTAGTGTTGAGAGTTAACATGTTTAGTTGCAACACCTGACAGTACAAATTGTCAGTGTCTAGTGTTGAGAGTTAACATGTTTAGTTGCAACACCTGACAGTACAAATTGTCAGTATCTAGTGTTGAGAGTTAACATGTTTAGTTGCAACACCTGACAGTACAAATTGTCAGTGTCTAGTGTTGAGAGTTAACATGTTTAGTTGCAACACCTGACAGTACAAATTGTCAGTGTCTAGTGTTGAGAGTTAACATGTTTAGTTGTGACACCTGACAGTACTAATTGTCAGTATCTAGTGTTGAGAGTTAACATGTTTAGTTGCAATACCTGACAGTACTAATTGTCAGTGTCTAGTGTTGAGAGTTAACATGTTTAGTTGCAACACCTGACAGTACTAATTGTCAGTATCTAGTGTTGAGAGTTAACATGTTTAGTTGCAACACCTGACAGTACAAATTGTCAGTATCTACTGTTGAGAGTTAACATGTTTAGTTGCAACACCTGACAGTACAAATTGTCAGTATCTAGTGTTGAGAGTTAACATGTTTAGTTGCAACACCTGACAGTACTAATTGTCAGTGTCTACTGTTGAGAGTTAACATGTTTAGTTGCAACACCTGACAGTGCTGAGTATTTACTAACTACTATTGACAGTTTAAATGTTTGTTGCGACACTTGACAATACTTTTTTTTTTTAAATTGTCGTCCCCATGTGGGATCCAATTTTTCGTTATTTGAAGCCTCACCCTTTTTTCGCCGGGGGAGGGGGGGGGGAAGGTGGGCGGGGGCTCTAAATATAGCCGGCCATACATAAAGCCTAACAGCTGAATGGAGTTTCTGGAATCTCTCCATGGGTGATCCTCATCTGCATAGTGGCACTTTGTGACACCAGGTGTTTATTGCTTTGTGTGATGTCCTGGTGGGGTACAACTTACATACCTGACAATACTGAGTGTTTAATACCTACTGTTGACAGTTTTATTATTTCTTGCAACACCTGATAGTGCCAAATGTCAACATGTACTATTGACAGTGTTCTTATTTCTTGTAACACCAAACAGTACCAAATATCAGTACCTACTGCTGACAGTAATAATGTTTCTTCTGACAAAATTATTGTTCCTTGTAACACCTAACAGTGCCGAATATCAGTACCTGATGTTGACAGTAATAATGTTTCTGCCAAATATCAGTACCCACTGTTGACAGTGTTAATGTTTCGTGTGACATTTGACTGTTCGAAATATCAGTACCTGATGTCAGCATTCATGTTTGTTGTGACACCTTACTTACTGACTTAGTCTCTCCTCTTCTACTTTGTGGTGTACAGGTTTGCCAGACATCTCTATCAGCAGTTTTCTTTCTGGCTGTGTTTTTTTCCCCAGTCCTCCATCAAGCAGGGACTGTCAGATGTTGTCTTCTCACTAGACCCTGGAGGTCTAGTTACTGATCCACTCGGGTTTGTAAGGACAGGATATCAATACCTTGACTTATTGTGGACTTTGTTTCTTCTTGTCACTTGGACCACCTTTCTCAGATATCTCATTTCTGAGGACTGAAGCTAGCTTCTGTGAGCTGTTGTCATTGTCCATGACTCACACCCAAAGGTCAGGACTGGCAAATAGGTAGAGCAGTAAAAAGCCATTTTTGTCCTCTTGCCAATCTCTCTTTTGCCAAGAAACCCTCGGTTTATGGCCTGGAAAAGTCTTACAGCAACTGTTTTTTACTGCTCATTCTTAACGCCTCTGATTCTGTCTATAACAACTCCAAGGTATCTGAACTGGTTGACCTGCTCCAATGCATACTGTCCCATCATGATCTGGTGTTTCTTCTCCTCTCTTGAGATCACCATGTTTGTAGTTTTGGAGATACTGATGGTCAGGACTGAAGGTGTGCCTCTGATTTAGCTGTCAGGGCCAAATCGTCTGTCAAATGTCAGCTCTGGTATACAGACTGGTCACATCTTCCAGTACCTACTGAGTACTGCTCTATCTTCTCCTTACAGGTCTTGATGACATTTTCCATCATAAGAATGAAGAGGTAAGGTTAGAGAATATCACCATGTCTAACACCGCTAGTGGTCTTTGATTCCTCTGACTTTCAGTCTGCTGTTATTATATAATTGCTGCAGCTTTTGAAGAAACTGTGTATTGCAATGATAAGGGTTGATAGGATATTTTTTCCTGCCAAGCAGTCCCAGAGCTTGCTCTAGGATGCCTTTTCTAGATCCAAAGATCTTTAGTTTGCTCTGAAGTCGAATTAGGCCTGATCCAGCTGTGGCTCTACTAGACTTATAAGCCTCTTCTGGAGAAATCTGGAGTAATTTTTACCAGGAACACTGAGTAGGGATATGCCTGTATGATTTTCACATTGTCTGTTATCACCCTTTTTAAATGTTGTTATAATGATGGCAACCTCCCAATCCTTTGGTATAGTTTTGATACACTAGGCTGCCTGGAGAACCATCAGTAGAAGTCGCTCACCTGTGACTCCTTTATATTTGACCGTCTCTGGTTTTATACCATCATTCACTGCTGCTTTCTCCAGCTCAATCTTCTCAATAGCTGTCTTCAATTCTTTCATCCTGATGTTATCATCTTCATGGATGATTAACTTTTCTGTAGTGAGGTCCGTTATTTCTGGGTCATAACTGTCCTCAACACCAAGTAGCTCACAGAAGTATTCTTTCAATGTGTCCACGATATCATTTGTGGTAGTAGGCAGAGCTCCTTCCTTGTCTTTTTTACATTTCAGCCCACTCTTTTTCCTTCCTTATATTCTTGAGGGTCTTATAGAACAGTTTTTGATTTTCTCTTGCATTCTTTTCCAGCTTTTCTCCAAATTATTCCCATGATTTCTGTTGTTGTGACACCTAACAGTGCTAAATATCAGTACCTTCTGTTGTCAGTAATCATTTTTCTTGTGACACCTTACAGTTCCGATTGTCAGCACCTATTGTTGACAGTATAATTGTCTACTGGAACATCTTACAGTTTTAAGTGTCATTGTCTTTTTTGTTTTTGTTTTTTTTTGGTCAGTGTTTAAATTGACTATGATGTTGCTATAGATAATGTGCACATCATATACAGTCCTTAAACATGTACACATCACATTTGCCAGTTTTCTTTTACACCTTTTGATATCTGCCAGTTTTCTCTCACACCCGTTAGTATCTGCCAATTTTCTTTTCCACACGTTGGTATCTGCCAGTTTTCTCTCACACCACTTGGTGTTCGCCAGTTTGATACCTGTTGGTATCTGCAAGTTTTCTCTCACACCTGTTGGTGTCCGCCAGTTTTCTCTCACACCTGTTGGTATCTGCCAGTTTTCTCTCACACCTGTTGGTGTCCGCCAGTTTTCTTTCACACCTGGTGGTATCTGCCAGTTTTCTCTCACACCTGTTGGTGTTCGTCAGTTTTCTTTAACACCTATTGGTATCTGACAGTTTTTTCTCACACCTGTTGTTATCTGCCAGTTTTTTCTTACACCTGTTGGTATCTGCCAGTTTTTTCTTACACCTGCTGGTATCTGCCAGTTTTTTCTTACACCTGTTGGTATCTGCCAGTTTTTTCTTACACCTGTTGGTATCTGCCAGTTTTTTCCTACACCTGTTGGTATCTGACAGTTTTCTCTCACACATGTTGGTGTTCGCCAGTTTTCTTTCACACCTGTTGGTATCTGCCAGTTTTTTCCTACACCTGTTGGTATTTACCAGTTTTTTCCTACACCTGTTGGTATCTGCCAGTTTTCTTTCACACCTGTTGGTATCTGCCAGTTTTCTTTCACACCTGTTGATATCTGCCAGTTTTCTCTCACACCTGTTGGTATCTGCCAGTTTTCTTTGTGATCTACTTTTCTTCTGACCTCAGCTGTATTGTCAGGGATGAGCAAATGTGTCTATCAGGCTTACATTCTCAATAATGTTATTTATGGCGCCGAAAATTGGTGAACTTATTTGCACCGGATGAGACGGATAAATAGCTTTCACATGCGTTGCTTAAGAAGAATACTTGGCATTAAGTGGCAAGACAAGATTACAAACACTGAGATATTGTAAAAAGCACTTCAACAGTTTTCATAGTGGTCAGTCTCTGAAGGCCCAGGTGGCTGGGTCACACCTGAAGAATTGAAGATGATACAGTTCCTACGGACATCATCTGCGGTAAATTACAGATTTGTAGAAGATGTTCAAGCGCGCTTCTACTACAGCATAAAGATGTGTGCAAACAGGACATTAATGATACAGGCACTGAGGTGGGAACAAAATACCATGAACCATGATGTATGGAGAGGGCACATCAAGTGGAAATGAAGAAAGAAATGATTGCAGAAAGGATGACAACTGAACCACCGAAAAGAATACACTAAATACATATGATGACAACAGTGGTCCTGAAATCCCAAGGGATCATTGTAAAAGACGTAACATGGGCGGGTCTTCTTAGTCACACTCACCATCACCATGGGCTGTAGCTCCCATGGTTCATCTGAGCACAATATAATGTATCGTCTGGACAGAGGGAAATGCTTCAACCCTAACACAGGATAGTGATTAAAGGCTATGAATATTAGTGATAGTGTGTGTCTGAATACATGTAGGCACTTTACACTAAAGCACTGTCGATGTGTCTTTGTTATTAATGTGTTTCATGAAAAATGTGTTTATATACAGAAACTGGCCAGGCCTGCAAAGGTGAATGTCACTGACCCAACTGGCAGCCCTAGTGTCGTCAGTATTGCCAGACAGCCGGTACCATTGCATGACCAAACAAGACGTGCAGTTATTAGAGTTTATTCCAGCTCTAAATTTTCAGAGTCCAGTTTGAATCCTGCCAGTGATCATTGGGATCAGGGGGATAGAAAACATGTATCTTCTATGACATTGGTCCAGATGAACTCAGGCAACACTGGTGCTGAACTTTCAGTGGCTGCAAACGTGCAGCGTTCTAATTCTTTAATTATAAAACACCTCAATTCAAATCCAACTTTAATGGGGTTGGATATGGGGCCAGTCATGTCACCGAAGAGTGTTACAATAGAAAGTGATCATCTGTGTCACAGTTCTAAAGAGGACTTTATTTGTCATGCTGCCAGTGAATGCAGCAATGGCACTGACATTAGATATATGTTTTCAGAGACTGGGTACGCTGCAACAGCTTCACAGCAGACTCTGGAACCTGTGGACTCAGACATGGTATCTACAAATACCTGTCAGACACCTGCTCATATCCTCGAAAACTTGAGCAGTTTTAGAACTCATTTTCCTCAGCGTGTTGGCCGGCCACAAATAGGCATTGCAGCAGTGATAAAATCAAAAGTCGGCCTGAGGCAGGACGGTGCGGCTCAGGAAACAATCAAGTTTCAGTCACCAGAGCTGCTCAAACTGGTTGGTATTACACCAGCGACATCAGCACCTCATTCTGATGAATTCAGTTACACCAAAGTTGATCGTGTACCCTTACAGATGCAAGATAACTCCAACCAAAAAGAACCATTATCATCTTCTAATGTCACTGAATGGGTACATGTAAGCATTTCACAACCAGAAACACCTGGCCCAAAAACTTTGGACGAATCTATAGATGAAAAATGGAAAGAGGTCAGAAACTTCTTGCGCAGTCCAGAGTATGAACCACCAGTTAAGCGAAGGAAACAAGCAGGTAGGTGCAATATTTATTTGATTATGAGATGTTCAGTATTTAAATGGTTTCTGAGAGGTGGAAACATTTTTGGTTTCTGAGAGGTGCAATATTTGTATGGATTATCTGTCAGAGGTACACAATTATTATGGATTATGAGAGGTACAATATTTGTATGGATTATGAGAAAAGATATAAAACTGAACAAAAGGTATATTAGCAAGCTTTGCAATATAGCAAATAAAAAAAAAAATTTAAAAAAAACGTGAATGTTGCAGATTTAGAGCCTTTATCAGCACAAACACAAATCAAACGAAACCACACAAATACACAAAATCACTTAGCTGGTATTTCGAAGCAGTCGGGTCAATGACTTATCAGCAGACTGTCGACATGCGTGGGCCAGGGAAATAAATATCCCCTGTGGAGTACCAGGGGCCATAACTAGGAAGTTTGAGATAAAAACTGTGATTCAGTCCCGAGGGTGTTAAAGTACCCAAAGTATAAATAAAGTGGTTTTTAAGAGACTTGCGGACTCTATGGATTATGAAAGGTGCAGTATTTATATGGTTTGTGACGGGTGTAAAAATGTTTGGTTTCTGAGAGGTGAAATATTTGTATGGTTTATGAGAGGTACAATATTATTTTAGTTTATGAGCGGTTAATATTTTTATGATCTATGAGTTGTGCACAACTGGTATAATTTCTTAGAAGTGCAATATTTTTATGATTTATGAGAGGTGCAATATTTTTTAGTGTTATGAGAGGTGAACTATTTTTATTGTTAATAAGAGGTACACAATTGTTTGGTTGATAAGAGGTACACAATTTTATGGTTTATGATTGACGGATTGATTGGCACATTTCTGTCTTCCCAGACTATAGTGTTATATTGTGCTATGAGGAGACAGACATGGGACTTACAGCTCATGGCAATAGTGGGTTCTACTAGCAAGACCCTGCTACGTTAAGAAAAATCATCCACAATTATCGTATGGGATTTCAGGATTGTTGTTGTCAACATTTATTTTTAGTGCGTTTCTTGTTTGATGCTCAGCTATCATCCTTTCTGCAATCATTTCTCCCTTTATTTCTTCCTGATTTGTCCCCTCCATGCAAAACAGTCCATGTCATTTTGTTCCTAAGAGTCCTTCTCAGTACCTGTATTATTAATGCCTCATTTGCACACATTATGTCATAGTAGAGGTCGGCCTTGGAATCTTCTGTCCATCTATAATTCACCATAGATGATGTCCTCGTGGTGTGACCCAGACACCTGAATTTTTTTTGGATTGAGCATTAAGAAAATTGTAATAAATGCTTTTTCCAATACCTCAGTGTTTGTGATATTGTCCTGCCAATTAATCCCAAGTATTTTTCTTAGGCATCACATGTGAAAGCTATTAAGCTGTCTCTCCTGATGTGAATAAGTAGACTGCCATAAAGCAGAGCACTGAAAACACAAGCCTGATAGACAAGAGTTTGTGTTTAAATCGTGAGCTTTCTGTTCTCCCAAACTCTTTTTGTTAATCTGCTCACTGTTGTTGCTGCCTTACCTATCCTGATGTTAATTTCTTGGTCTAGTGATTGTTTGTACTGCGGATCCCAGAAAGGTAAAATGGTCTACTATTTCCATCTCTTTACCGTCAGCGTAGACTGCGGGTCTTTCTTTAACACTTTGCACCATAACCTTTGTTTTTTTTTTCTTTTTGTTGATTGTTAGTCCAAAATCACAACAGGCATCAGCAAAGGCAGATAGTAAACATTGCAGCTCCCTCCTGTTCTGTGTGACTGGTTATTGCTGCATCACCTGCAAACAGCTGCTGTCTGATGAGTATCTCCCTTTTCCCTATTTCGTAGGGAGATGGTTAACACAGACAGACGGTTGAAATAGGAAGGTGATCAACATAGGGGATGGTCAACACAGAATGGTCAACACAGATAGATGTTCAACATAGAGAGATGGTCAGCATGGGGAGGGGGGTCAACACAGACAGAATGTCGACATAGAGAGTGGTCAACAGGTTTAATGGTCAAATAGAGAGACGGTCAACATAGGCAGATATTCAAAATTTGGAGATTGTCAACACTGGAGAGAGAGAGGGGGGGGGGGGGTCAACATAGGGAGATGGTTAACTTTGGGAATTCTACTTTACATATATAAACACACTGGTTTCTCATTCCTGTCTCTACACATTCACTGTCAGGTATCTTTTACTTGAAGATTATCAACACATGTAATAATCATTCTTCGTGTGTGCACAATATCATTGGGCGATTCCCTTGGTACCACCAACCAGTCGACAGAGATTACGAACATGCCAGTTCATACCCTTCGGTTGTGTATTCTCAGTTCACTTTAGAGAACTGTACGGATCAGTCGAAATCATCTGTCATTCTCGGAAAGCACAAATAGTTTGTTATACTGGAATTGAATAATAAACTGTGGTAGGCAGACTAGTCAGTGACGTGGCAAACTGCGCACTGTAATGCGCAGTAGTGGTTCTAAACGTGTGGCACGTATAGTAATCGCAATAGATTACTTGTAATTATGAGCTTTCTAGTTGAAGTCGGCTTTGGGTTAAGTGACCATTACTTGTAACAACCAGTTGGTTCTCCTCCAGCAAAACACATTAAATAGCTCATGTCGATTGGTCCGTGGTTTGGATGAATTAATAAATGACTGTATTCTGCAATCTAGCTTCATTTAATAATTAAGTTGCTTATCCTCAGTCTGGGTAATGTGTTTGTTTGTCAGTGTTCTGCAATCCATGAACATTGAAGTAATGAATTGACTGATTCTCACTCTGGTTACAATTATTTCGGTAGCTGTCAGTTAAACTCAAATGATGCTGTTATTGGAGCAGTTGCCGCTTTTGGTCATGACTTTTTGTGTATTCAGTGTCTTCTTGAAGTACTTAGGCCGTGGATTGTAGAAACTGTAGACGGAAATGTAGTCTGCCTATTCATATGCTCATCAGACTCACAGATGAATGTGCACATCGTTTCCATGACATGACTATAATCGTTGTCGGGGAGAATAGACATAGCAGCATGGCGCCATTTGTGCCACTCACAGTTGTCCTCAAGCTAGCCACGTTTGTGTTCTTGTTTCTGAAGATAACAATGTGTGCACACTTTAAAAATTGGAACAGTTTTTTTAGTGATACTTTCCTTTTTAAGGAACAATTTGTTTAGTGATACTTTTCTCTACAGGGAACCGTTTTTAGTGATACTTTTCTCTACAGGAAGCAGTTTGGTGATACTGTCCTCTATAGGGAACAGTTTGTGTAATAATACTTTTCTCTACAGGAAGCAGTTTGTTTAGTAATATTTTTCTATACAGGCAAAAGTTTTTTTTTTTCGTGATACTTTCTTCTATAGGGAACAGTTTGTTTAGTAATACTTTCCTCTACAGGGAACAGTTTGTTTAGTGATACTTTCCTCTACAGGTAACACTTTGTTTAGTGATACTTTCCTCTACAGGTAACACTTTGTTTAGTGATACTTTCCTCTACAGGGAACAGTTTGTTTAGTGATACTTTCCTCTACAGGGAACAGTTTGTTTAGTGATACTTTCCTCTACAGGGAACAGTTTGTTTAGTGATACTTTCCTCTACAGGTAACACTTTGTTTAGTGATACTTTCCTCTACAGGGAACAGTTTGTTTAGTGATACTTTCCTCTACAGGTAACACTTTGTTTAGTGATACTTTCCTCTACAGGGAACAGTTTGTTTAGTGATATTTTCCTCTAGGGCTGTACCGAATATTCGCTTCGGGGCCGAATAGTGGACCAAATAACTGTTCGATATTCGGCGGCCTAATACTTGTGGTCGGCCGAATACGAATTGTGATTACCTTACACTCGTTTCTGCATACACTGCTATGGACTGAAATAACTCTCTGATTTGATTTGATTCGAAAACCGACATCACAGCACTCGGGGCAATCCCATAAGCACTCCGTCCCCATCTTCAGCAGCCAGTGAAGAGTTCCGATACTAATGGTGCCAGTACCATTCTGATTAAACGCCCGTCTTGCCTTTCCTCTGAGCCTCGAGCGTCTGCCAGAACCTCTCGTCACGTCTGACTGTTCAGGTGGCACTTTGACCCACTCCTCTCCTCGCCTAATGTTCTCAAGGATGCAAACCTGTCTGATTGTGTCTTCTGCCTGAGCCATCCATGACCTCCCTCTTATCAGCCGCTGACCCTCAACTGCACCCAGAGCTTCATGCAAAGGGTGGTCTGTGTTTGGAGCTACCCTGAGACATGATTTCACCTGCAGCACCTTGTGCCTACCTGCAACGATTCTGTTGTCTAGAGAACACCACAAAACAGACGCCTTTTCCTAATGGACGACAGCCCTCATGGCTGTACACCACTCAATCACTTTGTCAACTGTCGCTTGTAGCTCCAGGGCTGTTTGTTCCCTTTCTCTCTCTCTCCCCCCCCCCCTTTGCCTATATGCAAGTATATCATCAAATAGAGTACTGCAGGAAATTACCGGTCACCCTAGTATTGCCTGCCTGCTAGGGAAGGGGCATTGGATGTCCCGTAGGAGCCCATACGTCTGGTGCCGCCCCGCACGCCCGCCAGACGTCCAACGTTCACGACCAGCTCACCCGTGGCCACCTTGTTTCTCAGCACGTTGGTCCACCTTGAACTTGGGGGTTTACATCCGGAGTTTGCCGCCTCCTAGATGGACTGCTGTCCAAAACTAACGGGTTCCATCTACCTGGGGAAACGGGTTATAGCTCTCCGACCCGCTTGGCAGGCACGTCTCCAAGCATATGAGGTATTTTAAAAGGATTATCCAGATGAGAATGAAGAAAAGGAATTTTCAATGACACGTTGCAGCCAAGATTCACATACTTTTGAAGGAAATTTTCTGCAATAACATAGTAATTATCAGATCTGTTGTTTCCAAGTCAATTCTCCACCACTGACTTAAATGCTACTTTATCCTTGCTATGCAAGAAGTTTTGGAATAAAATCTTGCTGGGTTTTCGACGTTCTTACTG